TCTCACTCACTGCCTCACTCTCTCACTCTCTCACTGCCTCACTCTCACTCACTGGGACATTCACTCACTCTCTCATTCACTCACTGTTTCACTCTCACTGTCTCAGTCACTCACTGACTCACTCACTGACTCACTCACTGACTCACTCACTCACTGCAAAAAAAGAAAAGAAAAAAAAAAGAAAATGCTTTAAAAATCAACAACAACTCTGTATGGGACAGTTCTACTTTGTCCTGTGCGGTTGCTATGCGTCGGAATCCACTCAATGGCAGTGAGTGGTTTTTATATGGGATTAACAGCAACTCCAAAGATCTGATCGGAACTGGAGGGGAAAGCGAGTCTGTTCATGAGACAGAACTCATAAAGGGAGGGCGAGATGTGGCACCACCTGAACAATGTCATCAATGCAACTACATTGTGCACATATAAACTGTTGAAACCGTGTATGTTTTTGCTGTGTATCCTTATCAACAACAAAATAAAGTTTGGAGAAATTAGTGCTGCTCTTACCCCACTCCTGAGGCATCCCATCCGCCCCCACACCCTCATGGGCCAGCTCACCCTAGGGCTGGTGGAGCACCTCCTGAGGCGTCTCATCCTGTCCCATCCCATCCCATGCCCTGCTGCTATGGGGGTGCCGCCCAGCTCGCCACTCACCGTGGGCCTGGTGGAGCTCCCGGGTGAGGGCGGCCGTCGCTGCGCTCTCCTCACTGAGGCAGTCCAGGAGCTCCTTCTGCTTCCTAATGACCTGCACTGTCTCCTCGTTTTTACCGTGAAATTCTTTCTCAAAATTAGAATGAAGTTGGCGTGCTTCCTCCAGCTGTTACAACACATTTGAAAATCAGAATTGTATACTGAAAATAACCAAGACTCATGTTAACACCACACTTGGGCAGCATTCCAGTGAAATCATAAATAATTCCATGAAAAACAACAATTCCAATTATGTCAATTGCTAAACAATTAAATTTGCTCACCCAACAATTTTTCAAAGAAAACCTACACACAGACACGCATAGGACATTTCGAAACAATTGTCTACCAAAGAACCAGGACATAGGGCAGAGACACACCAGGCAGGTGTGTGCAGGGTAGGCATGGGGTAGTGGGGGCAGGACAAAGGACACTGGCCGTAATCACCCACATCATGTAGGGTCAACAGGGACAGGGGCACCCTATAGTGCTTCCTCCTCAGTATGCGCCACCAGCATCTAAATCAGTGGTTCTCAACCTTCCTAATGCCGCGACCCTTTCATACAGTTCCTCATGTTATGGTGACACCCCAACCATAAAATTATTTTCGTTGCTACTTCATAACTGTCATTTTGCTACTGTTATGAATCAGGTGACCCCTGTGAAAGGGTTGTTCGACCCCCAAAGGAGTCATGACCCACAAGTTGAGAACTGCTGATCTAAATCCTACCCCAATGGCAGCTCTACTCCTGCCTCCATGTACTTTGTGGCCCCCTCCTGTGGCCTCCGTACACCCAGGTGAGCACACCCCAAATTCTCCCCTCCATGTTCTCACTCAGTGGTTGACAGACTCTTAACCCTGATGGTGGGGTTTCCCTCATACGCTTGCTGCTCAGGACAGTCCAGGTGCCTCTTCCAAGGAAACCTGTGGTTCCCACCTTCGAAGGAGCCCAGAAGCCACCACGTCTCACCCCGCCCTCCCCACGGGCTACCTCAGATGCCCTCCTGCCTGCAGCGAAGGCCACTCCCGAGGAGCACAGGTCAGGGCCACGGGCCAGGGAGATGGAACTGCCTCTCTGAGCTCAGCCTTCAAACAGGCTCCTATGCCCTTGCTATGGCCTCTCCCGTGGCACCACTACACCCCCTCTGTGCCCTCTGCACTGGCACCATCATTCAAACCACGGGCACATTGGGGCTAGGGACAGTTCAGGTTAATGACAGAGCAACTAGGTACTTGTAGATGCCGTGTTCTGGGGGGAAAGTGGGGTGCGCAGAGGGTGATGAGGGCCAGAAGGGGAAACGATGCAGGGAAGGCAGTGGAGAAAGCAAGACAAAGAAGCTGCGATTGCGAGACTGTGGCCTGCAGCTGGTGCCCCTGACACAACCACCGAGCATTTCTCGGACTGGACGGCACCAAACCGCCCACTGCTAAATGTTCACACGCATTCTTACTTAACTTGTTTTCTAACTGTCTGCAATGTTCCGAGAGTAGCAAAATCAACCCCTTTGGTGCCAATTTCTAAAGGTACAGACATTCTCAACATATAATTGCAACAGCATCAAGCTGGTTTATACATTACCTAAATTAAACAAATTGGGACTTGTTTGTAACTCACAATAAGCCTGCCTCTATGGGAATGTGGGTCAGAATAGACTCTTTCAGAAGGAACTGTGTGTGAGAACAGTGGGAGTTAACAGGGAAGGCTGCTGCACCTGAGGCTGTCAGTGCAGTCTCTATCCCCAGACGCAAGCAGCGGCATGGGGCATGAGAGAAGCACGTGCTAGAGAGTGGGAGAGCCCCTTAGAGGCACTGCTGACTGACACTAGCCTGGAGGCAGCCAATCCCCTTCACCTCACCCCCATGAGGCCAACAGAGCCTACAACTCATCTGTAACCCCTCACAGCGCAAACTCTCCCAAATGCAGGTGAAATTGTTTGTACAGGGAGGCCCCTGCCCCTCCACACAGCACCTTACCTGGCGGCTGGAGTCCAAAACCATCTCCAGGAGTTTGTCCACAGCCAACCTGAGGCTCTGGAAGATCTTCCTGACGGGCTGTTCATACTCCAGTGTGGTGTCTGGGTTCATAAAGAAGCTTTCACACACATGACTGCTGATCTCGGCCACCGCCGACACCTCTGCAGGCTCAGGGAGCGCCCCATCAGGCTCCAGCAGGGCTGTGCGTAGCTCAGGCAGGGCCGCATCCAGTGTGGAGGCTGCAGAACAAGCACAGGCCTTCATCTACAGCATAGCAAACAAGTCAACCACACGCCAGCTGTAAGGCAAGACGCAAACTGCATCCAGCAGGCCACAGGAAGTCTAAGAAAGACTGCCCATCGTAGCGACATGGAGCCACACCGCACAGGAATTGGGAAGCCTCCACTATGCTTGGGCCTTGCATGTGCAGGAAGAATCAAGGAGGGAGGAGTTCACATCACGGCCACAATGCTACATCCCAGGCCAGCCACTGGAGGAGCCTAGCACCAGTTTGCCCCTACCAATAATCCTCCCCTAAAGCCACCTGTAGCAGCCCAGCCCACAGCACCAAGCAGCAGGCCCAGCAGCCCCTCCTTCTCAGACAGTCTACAGCATTCTAAAGAGGGCTTCAGGCACAAGTCCCCAGGAGGCCCAGAGGTGCCTGATACCACTAGCTCTCCGTGGTCCTTATCAGAAGGTCAGGCAGTGCTCACCTATAGAAAAATCATTCTTGCTCATGCACATATCCCGTCTTGTGAGCAACAACACATGACTAACCACATTAGGCAACCTTCATTCCACAGTGCACTCTAAATGGAGCTGCTCAAACAATCCAAGTCCACACAAGTACTCACCTGTGCACTCTCCTGCACACAGGACCTCGATGGCTGGCCAGACGTCAGGCAGGCTCTCTGTACAAGGGGCCCCCATGTCATCCAAACAGAGCCCCACACGCTCACTGATCTGACTCCTTATGGCAACTGCAGCCCTCAGCGTCTCTCCAAACAAGCTCAGCAGCCTTTTGAGGGCATCCTGGAGTGAGTTCCTGAGGAGAAGGACGTGAAAATCAGAAGACACAACGCATGAAAACAGGCCCTGGCAGAGAATTCTCAGCACAGGCAGGTGCAGTCGGGACGACCTGCTGTGGGAGGCACTGGCCATGCTCCAACCCACAGGAGACAACCTTCCACACAAGAGTGCAAGCAGCTCCATAGACCAGCGCCCTCGTAAAATAAGGGAAAACTACTTATGAGAAAACCAGCCACTGGAAATGGTCCTACGAGCAGAAGCAGCTAGAAAAGCACCTCATTCAAGAACATTTACAAAAATTCAATATGAAAGGTGAGCGTATCTGAATCACTCCCTCTCCCCCTCCTAGAGCTCAGCAAGAAGACTCCTCTCCAGACAGCTACAGCAAACTCTGGCTCTCACCCCTTGCTCCCAGTTGGGGGCTCTCTCCACAGAGAGACAGGATACAGACATCTCTCCCCCTTCCCACAATGCCCTGTTGCTGAAGCGGTCTCAGGTGAATACATCCACTCCTTGCAAAGTTGGCAACTATTAAAAGACAATAACTTACACATCCAGAAGCTCAACAAATTCCAAATAAGATCATGTAAAAGATTCACAAACAGACACAGTACAGTAAAAGTGCTGAAACTCAAAGGCACAAGAAAATGTTGAAAAGTCCAAGGAAAAATAACTCATCACTTAAGATTACCAGCTGACATCCCAGTGAACACGAGTCAGTCAGAAATAGGAGAATGACATATATAGTCAAAGTTAGAAAAGAAAACGCTGTCAAACGAAATTCTATATACCGCAAATCTACCATTTAGAATTAGCTTGAAAGCAATTATACAAAGTAACATGTAAATATTGTTGTACCTGTAACAAAGAAATGAAATATTATACAATAATATGCAAGAAAGTGGTTGGAAGCATCACTATAATGGGCAAAGAAAATAAAAGATAAGAACGTAATAAAGATGTATTGTTGGATTTGTAACGCTACTTAGAAAAACAGATAATACTACTCCCAAAAAGGGAGAGCACA